ATCCCACAATGAGGCTGGAACACTGTAATTGAACCTTTTTATTGCACTTTAAGCTTGTACTATGTGTTCTGGCTCTTGTTTCATAAACCATTACATTCCATATGTCAGGTGCATGTCAATTATTTATTTCATATTTATCACTGACACATTGCTATTCCAAACTATTTTCTACTGCCCTGCCATTCAGATGTTGAAATAGTGGGTTTGGAATGGACTTCTTTTCCCCCTGTGGGGAAAAGGACAATAATTGCCTGTTGGCACTCACAATTTGGAACAGGCACATGATTATAACTGTGGGGCCAGTACTCCAAAATCACTCAATCATCACAAGACAATAATGATATATGATATATCAGCAGTATATAATGCAGTATATAAGGATAAAATTTATTTGAAGGTCTTGCCAGACATAATCTGGATAGCAGCTGATTGTTAAGATGGTCTATCCTTGAAGATCAAGAACACTCCAGAGTACAGCATGTGTGAAACATTTCAACTAACCATATAACCTGGTCGTGAATACTAGCATCATCATCTGTTCTCTAGAATAAAAAACAACAACAACAACACAGGGTTTTAGCCAAGAAATCTTGTTGCTGACAGAGAACCACATTGAGCTGGCTTCCAAAAGATTGCACAACTGACAAATTAAAATAAAATAATGGATAAAAAACCGGTATATTTTAAAAATTATTATGAATCTGGAATTGTCTATGTAAATAATCTCTTATTTAATCTAAGCAGTAATGACTCTTTCGGCTATTTTGCAAAAAAAATAGTAAAATCAACATTCTTCAATGGGTAGGCCTTTGACACTCTGTACCTGACTTTTTAAAAGGCGGTTACACTCCCCCGCCATTAACCTGTCCTTCATTTCCAGTTCATAACAACATCTTTGATGTGATGAAAAAGAAATCAAAAGATTATTATTCGCTACTTGTCGTGGAAAAGGCACAGCCTCTGAACATTATCCATAAACGGAAAAGCGATTTTAACCTTTCGGATGACCATTTGAGAGAATTTTTTCTGTTACCTCACTCTGTTGCACTTGAATCTTATGTTAAGGCTTTCCAGTATAAAGTGCTTAACAACATACTCTACACAAATAAAAAATTATTCAAAATTGGTTACAGAACAGACAATGTTCGTACTTTTTGTGAGGCCACACCAGAAACTTTGTACCATATCCTTTACCAATGCCCTTACTCAAGGCGATTTTGGAACGATTTTGAATCTTATTGGTGCCTTTTGTCAAATCAACAGGTTCGTCTTTCATTGCAGAATGTTATATTTGGTATAATGTCTAAGCAATGCCCTCCAACAAAATTACTGAATTACTTTATTATTGTTGAATAGCTGTTTTTGTGGGACTGCAGAAGAAACCAAATACATCCTAAGGTTATCAAAACAAAATAGAACAAAATACGAAACTGAACGTAAAATAAATAAGGATTATTTTGAAAAAAAAAAATTGGATATTTAGCCCTGGCCAGAAATCAAATCAATATGTTGATAGATTAAATACTTAATATAGTAACCAAAGAAATAATTTAGATTGTGCGCTCTCTGTAATTACAAAGTTATTCATTCTTTCATTTTTTTGTGTCTTTTGTTGTTGTTGTTTTTTTTCTTGTGTAGTTTTCTTTTTTGTCACTTGTAGTATAACGTAAGCTACTGATGTAAACTTAATAGCCATTTATTAATTTCTAGC